TATTTCTTCTCTTCATGAGCCCACAGAGCCCACAAAGAACGAGTGAAATTTTGCTATGTGGGGAGTGTACCAACCAAGCCAACAAAACACAGCTTGGTTGGGAAGAGCTTTTTATTACTAAACCATGTATTTTCACTTGTTAACAATCCTTTCTAAAGAAGAGTTGTATATAATTGTTTTTTGACAGATGTAGGAATTAGAAATACTCAGTTAATGCATTTTTGCTAGCATAGCAATTTAAAGATTGACATTAGAATGCAAATTAAATATAAATTATGTTAACCTTTGTTATAAGTGCACTGAACTTTCTGGAAAGAAAGTTTGTCTTAATGCTAGTTTATTTCCTCATCACAGCATCAGATTTTCATTTTATTGATGGTTCCTCTTTGTTGTTCAGTATGAAAACAATGAATAATTTCATTGCATAGGTTTAAAGAACCGGCTCTAAAGAGAAACACAGATCAGCAGCAGAAGTTGTCCATGTGTGGTGGCAGACTGGAGGAGGAGGTGTTTTACTGTGGGTTTCTAAAGAGCTCAGTTCACAGTACCACAGATGGATGCTTCTTGAAGAGCCCCTGCATGCTGTAAAGAAGGTCTTCTCCAGCAGTCTGATTTGCAGATGAAATGCTAGAAACAGCTTTTAAACCAAGCTAAGCTATTCTTGAAGTCCTGGTGTGGCGCTGTGGGTTAATGCGCCACACTGCAAAGTTGTTTGAACTGCAAAGTTGGCAGTTCAAGCTCACAAGCTGCTTCTCAGAAACCCTATACAGGGTCGCTATGGGTCGGAGCCAACTCGACAGCACTTCACACCACAATAACAACAACAAGAAGCTATTTTTGGGAATAATTTTTGAGGTCATGCGAAGTCTTGAGGAGCGTTTTAGGCAAATGTAGAAAATTTATAAGATACTAAGAATGAAAAGTGATTTTCCAGGAGTCTCAAAAAATGTGACTAGAACAAAAACTGGCAGCTGCTGTGAAAAGCTGTGTGACTACTAGTAGGTGGAGCCTAGAAAGGTCACTGAAGGGAAAAGGCAGCTTTTACAAACCAGACTCCGCCAGACGATGCAAACCACAAATCTGGCAAATCAGGAGCAGTTTTAAGGCCCACCTTACAGGGACTTTCAGAGCCCACAGAGAATGTCCTTCAGATACTAACAATAAATACATTCACAGGGAGGAGGACATGAGCTAGCAATTATTAGAAGCTAGAAGATCCTTGATAAGAGGCCCACAGGGCACACTAAAGGGCAGAAAAGGCATGGACAAATGTTTTTTCTAAGTAAACAAATTTTCCTTTCAAGTTGTTCTTAAAATGGGTAAGTTGGTTAAAGCACCAAATGTTTAATCAAAATTAATTATATATACCAGGAGGCTTCAAAAAGTTTGTGGAAAATTATCTTTTCATTCCATTTTCCACAAACTTTAAGCCTCCTTGTATAGATAATGGTCGTTTTGAACTGCAAGGTGGGTGGTTCAAACTCACCTGTAGTTCTTTGGAAACTCCACATATAGGGCAGCTAGTGACGGCACTTCCTGGTGTGGCGCTGTGGGTTAACGCTCCAGATTTCAAATACGTTTGAACTGCAAGGTCAGCGGTTCAAACTCCCCAGCTGCTCCTCAGAAACCCTATATAAGGTCTCTATGGGTCAGAACCAACTTGATGGCACTTAACAACAACAACTTGTTAAGTACTGTGGAGTCGGTTCCGACTCAGTGACCCTGCACAGGGTTTCTGTGGCTGCAAATCTTTTCGGGAGCAGAAAGCCTCATCTTTCTCCCGCGAACAGCTGGTAGTTTCGAACTACCGACTTTGAGGTTAGCAGCCCAGTTTGCAACCACTACGCTACCATAGCGCCTTACAACAACAATTGACAACACTTAATAATAAACAACTCCAAGTTTGGAAGGTAACAGATGACTGTGAGAAATAAGTTGTGGGTGCGGATCCATCTTCGGGAATTCGTGTGACTGCTAGGCTGGAGAACAGATTGTTGACTTACATAGAGGACTAGGACATTTAAATAAGAATACAGCCATTAAGACAATGGACAAGCCATTGTGGCTTCTCTGGGGGGAGGGGAAATGGGACAGGCCATAGAAATGTATATGGGGAACTGGAGGAGGGACTTTTTGGAGACAAGGATAAAAACTGTTTGTGATGGGCCATGAGGCATGTCTGGCCATGTCTATTGGGTTGGGTGCCCGACTTTGCAAAATCAAATAAAGAAAACCTCACTCTCACTAAAAAGGAGTACAGCTGGATCACTTGAGCATTTGTCAGTATACACAACGTTTCTCACAAGACCAAATGGGGCTGCTGACAAGCACATGTACTTTGCAAGTTTATAAGAGAAGCTTCAGGTAGGCTGTGTGACAGAGACTAAGGAATTTCACCAAGTTTTCTCTTGCCAAGTGCCGTGGAGTCACTTCCAACTCAGTGACCCTGTAGAGGGTTTTCGAGGAGCAGCTGGTGAGTTTGAACTGCTGACCTTGTGTTTCATAGTTGGTGCTGATCCTACGCCACCACACTAAGAGAAGACAGTGTAACTCGAAAGGAAACGTGGTTTCTAGAGGAAACAGCCTCTTTAATTATAGGGAACAGCATTTAGAGGGTTATGAGTTGTTCCTACCTGTTCTTAGTGAAGGGTCTGGAAGCCATGCTGTATAGGAAAGAAAAAACCATAAAGGACCTGTGTTGAGTTTTCTTCAAATTATTGAGGTAGGAAGGATTAGAGTAGGCCTAAGACCAGTGGAGGAGTCCTGGTGTGGCACTGTAGGATAAGCAATGGGCGGCTAAACATAAGGTTGATGGTTCAAACCCACCAGCTGCTCCTGGAAACCCTATGTAGGGTCATTGTGCGTCAGAACCCTGTATTGTAGCTCGACGGTACTCAGCAACTAGCAACAAGACCAATCGAAAGATGGTAGATTTCAGTCCCTTCTAGGGAAGAACTTTTTAACACTATTGTAGTCCCAATGAAATAGGCTGTCTGAACACAACACAACATGCCTGAATGAGCTGGGTGATAACCTAGAAATGTTAAGAGAACATCATGCTGAGGAGATGACTGGATTAAACTTGTGCTGTTTCCAACTCTAGAGACACTATGACTTGTGCACTAGCATTCTTTCAGGAGGGGATAGGTATAACTGTTACATTAGTAGTAAAACTGATGAGATGTGAGAAAAAAATTCACAATTAAAAAAAATTTAAATTTGGAAGCTAAGGGCCCTCTTCAAAATATATTTTAAGTACTTAATTCAATGTATAGAAACTTTAAAAAATAAGTTCTCAGGGACTGGTGTGAAGGCTAGGCGTATTTAACATCCTTAGTGAAGAGGTTGAAAGGAAAGGAGTCTACTGTGCAAGCTCTGGGGAAAAACAAACTCTCCTAGAAAGAGGCTGGAGTAGAGAGCCAAGGCAAAGGAGCCTAGCTACAGGGAATATCTTTCAAGTCCACGAGCACAACAGTAGACAGGAACTGGGTGAAGTTCATGTGGGAAAGTACGAGATGAATTTTTGGGGAAACCATTCACAAAATCAAGAGCTCTGAGTACTAAAGCACAAAAAGGAAACCTGAGAGTCTCTGGAAAGGCTGGTGCAGTCTACTGCTGTGGGCCCAACAGTCAACCAACCAACTTAAAGACGGAGGTCATCAAGAAGGGGACTGACCAGGAACTCAGAATATAGCTCAAATGATGAGGGGCTTGTGCAGGAAGAGGCACTGCTGTATATGGAGACAATGAAAAGGGCAAACTGAGAGGGGCCATGACCAAAATCTATAACCCTGAATAGCACAGACACCTCTTAACCACAAACCAAAATGCTAGGGGATAGTTGCGTTTCTTAGCAATACAGAGGTGACAAGTTTTGTTGTTAGTTGCCACTGAGTTGGCAATGAACAGTGTCCCTGTGTTCATCAGAACAAAACACTGCCCAGTCCTGCACCATCTACACAGTTGTGAGCTCATTGCAGCAGCAAATGTGTCAATCCATCTCAATGAGGGTCTTCTTTTTCACTGACCCTTTTAAGAAAAGGTTAGGGCCCTACAAAGCACTATAAGTGCACTAGCCTGGAAGGTGGTATTGGCCCTTTATGTAAACAAACTCCTAAAAGGTTGATTAAAAGATAGGCTCTGCAAGGCAACCACACCCTTCCCAAAACATGTCCCTAGAGATTGGATCACCTCCTTTCTTAAGAATGCAAGTCTGTGTACCTTTAGGAGTTGCTCAGGACTTGTGCTACTTGAGAAATTTTCCATTCAGCTCATATTTAGGATAGGAGTCCTAGTGTGGCACTGAAGGGTAAGCGCTCCACCACAAGGTCAATTTGAACAGCAAGGTCAGTGGTTCCAACTCACCAGCACTCCTCCGAAACCCTAGACAGTGTCACTATGGGTCAGAACTGACTCACGGGTACTTAGTAACAACAACAGTATTTAGGATGGCCCTTGGCTGACTGATGGAAGCATGTGCAGAGCAGTATCACACAAGAATTTCATACATGGTAGCCTTTTGTCCCCCTGGAATTACATAGGCAAAGTGAAACCAGGTATTTTGTTCTCTTATTTGGGAGGGTAGAGTGGTAGGTGGAGACAAGCATGGGGTAGGGCAGAATGTGGGTACGAAAAAAATAACTCGTACTGATAAGTCAGGGGATTGCCATCAGTCAGCTTAATTTAGCACGTAAGAATAAAATTTAAATGTTCCAAGGAATGAGGCACTGAAAGGGTAAAAATGAGAATTTTCTTTGGTTCCCAAGGACCTGTCCCTGGGCACTCACGCCAAGGTCAAGTTCTTCAGCTACTCTTTCTGGCTCACAGGGTTCTCTGTGACACAAAGAATCTCAAAGGTTTAGACTCTGGTGTTAGCTGTGCACTCAGAGTGGTTAGATAACAGTTCACATTAGATGTGTAAAATGCATTAAACCCAAAATTCTAGGCCCAAGATCAGAGCCATCTACCAAAGTTCTTCCTCCTCAGGGAGTGAGCAGCCGGGTTGTCCCCACACTAGCTCAGAGCATGACTGAGTCTTCTCCTTCGAGAATGGTTCAGGCCTCCGAGGTGCTTGGGCTCAATGGGAGAAACCCAGAGACTGCAACAGGTGAAAGGTGGCCCCCAAGGCCCAGCCTGTCTCTATGTTGTTCACTTTCTTTGTGAGCTGTTGAGACAAGAGAAAAAAAAAAAAAAAACTTCATATTTTCATATAGTTTTCAACTCTTAGCAAACATGGCATTTGGACAAATGATATCGGCAAAGAACACCCACCCACATGACTAAACCAATACAAAATAGAGAAAAGCAAGTCTTTGGAGGCTTCCTGCTACCCCTGTTCTGTAAGTTTTCCTCCCTCCCTGACTTTATTCTTACACCTGCCATTCTGATTCTGGAATGTTCTGGCTCAGGTCTTCTAGACAGTCTTTCAAGCGCTTTCTCAAGTTTAACACTAAACATAGCATCCCCCAGATTTACTTTTCGAATCACCAGTTTCTTACAATCAGATGTCAGTGGATATGGTAGAAAGGGCACACTACGGAGTTAGGAACAGATTTAGGGGCAGGAAAGGACATCCCAAATTTCTGAATTTATACTTAGTAGCAAGTCCTGGTGTGGTGCTGTGGGTTAATGCGCCAGACTGCAAAGCCGTTTGAACTGCAAGGTTGACAGTTCAAGCTCACCAGCTGCTCCTCAGAAACCCTATACAGGGTTGCTATGAGTCGGTACTGACTGGACCACACTTCACAGCAACAGCAATGCCCAAGCAGCTCAGTGATTTTATGCAAGACTTTAGCTCCCAGTTCCTCAACTCTGCAACCAGAGGATTCGATCAGTGGTGACCAGATTGTTTTCTTCAGCATCCCAGGGGTTCATAACAGAGCTTCAGAGGAAAAAGGGGCCAAAGGGGAAGGAATTTCAGGCCCCCAGCCTCTGCTCTAACCAGAATAAGTCCACTCTGATCAGCACTGTATGACTAGCATTATGCAGAAGGTTTTGTTGAATACAAACGCTTCTCTACCACCACACATACAAAATAATAATAAAAAGGAAGTTTGTAAAATAGTGCTAACTTCCTGCGTCACAATAGTTGTGTCACCCTGATGGAATCTAGTTATTGTGTTGAAAACTGAGGAGGATGGCACTTGACTTAGTCTCCTAAATGGTTTAATTTTGGGGTGGTTGCTATTAAGTTCAGTTCTGACTCATAGAGACCCTGTATAGGGTTTCCAGTGAGTAGCTGCTGGGTTTGAACTGCTGACCTTGTGGTTCAGAGTCTGGTGCTGATTCTACAGCGCCACACAGGAGTACAATTTTTGGGGCTAGAACTGGGTATATGGTATGCTGCGTATAAAGTACAGGCAGTTTCAAGTTTAATCTGAGGAGCAGTGTCAAATGAGTGGGGCCTCCAAAATGTTCTCACTCTGTCCTCAAAACTGAGCTGGCAGCCTATGGTACAGATACTGAAGTGAAATGGCAGGGACAGACTGTCCACCGTCGATGTTGCATTGAAATTCTGCCCCCAGTGAAATCATGGGAACTAAAAGGATGCCAACACTGGAAATGACAGAAAAACTTCCTAAAATAACTTGGGTATTGTTGATTAAGTAGAAGCAGTTGTTTACTTAAGTGTTGAGAGGCTTGGGAGATCTCTCTTGTCCATAATTCTATCTTCAACTGATGTGAAATGCCTCCACTAACAGTAATACCAATTTATATCCAACCACTGTGCTTTCTCTGCATGATTTCACTTAATTTTCCTAACAGCCCAAATGATACACGTGTGTTTAGTACAGATAAGTTAATATAAAGTACAGCCAGCATGTGCTGAAACAGATGAAGAAAGACAAGACAAAGAGATACTAAATATATGTAAGGCAGGCATAAAACACCCAGGATACACTGCACATGCACAAGGCATTTACTGTTTGAGAGGGCTTAAATCAGCCACTGAGTGACACCTTCTGGTCTCTCGGGTACTCTGCTAAATAAAGTCCATCTGATGGGCTAATAAGGAGCCCTGGGTGGTGGTGTAGAATAATATTAGACTTCTCACCACAGGTCGTCAGTTCAACTAGCTACTCCATGGGGGAAAGATGTACCGTCTCAGAAACCCTATACAGGATTACTTGTGAGTTGGATTTGACTTGATGGCAATCGATTTTGAGAATGGGCGAGTTAAGTTACTAGCCAAGTGTAACCACACCTGTATCACAATGAACTGAGCAAGTATGTGTGATGTCCCCAGTACTGTCCATCTGTTGGGCTTCCTGGATCAAATGTCTGCCCTAGTATTTTTGTAACTGAACCATCAGTGGCAGAGAGAGAGTTAGGCTGTATGAACTTTGTATAACAAAGGATTCCAGAAGTTGTGGAACTTCCAACTCACTCACACCCTATCTTAAGTGTGTTCACCTGCCCCATGTATTTCCCCTTGCTTCTCCCTGAGTTTTAAACTGATTTAATAAGCCATGTAATTTGGGCATCTTCATTGAGTCTTTGAGCCTTTCTGTTCTGTGATCTCGGGGAAACCTGCCTGGTTATGTACTAAGAGGCTCTACAATGACATCAAAGCAGTTTCCTAAATTTATGGATTCCTGGTGTAGCACTGTAGGATCAGCACTGGACAGTGAACCACAAGGCCAACAGTTCAAACCCACCATCTGCTCCTCAGAAACCCTATACAGGATCGCTGAGTCAGAACTAACTTCATTGCACTTAACAACAACAATGCAGTCAATACCTTGTCCAGAGCCTAAATAAAAGTACACTGTTTTCCCAGGGAGCCATCAAGGCAAACCCCCTTCCAAAACTGAAACACAAATGGACTACACTAGCAGGCATATGGTCCTGCTGCTGACCACGTTGGTCACCGATAAGGGCAAGAGAGGGAAAAACAGCAATGAAGTTGTGAACTAAGTCCGACCACATTCAATAGACACCTGTTAACCTGGATTAAGACCTGGTTAACCAGCAGTATGCCGAGACCTGGGGATTCCTGGGCCCAGGGGCAGGGACATGGCCCCAGAGGACTAGAATGGAGTGTGAAGCATCCAGTTGATATGAAGTGAGGGGAGATGCACAAGAACACCCACAGTTGCAGATAGTACCCATTTGACCTGGCATCAATGGCTGGATGATCAGAACACGACTAGAGGAAGAAAGAAGAGGGGAGAAAAAAAAAAGGAGTAACCCACTATAAGTGGATGAACTTGACCTATGCTTGTGGATGCAAGCTTGTGGATATGACAAAGGAGTGGACAAATTTCTACAGTGAGGATCATTCCCACGACAGGGAGGGGGAACTTAGACATTGGCTACCCAAAATGGGGAGGCTGCAAAGGCAAGAAGTGACTGGCTTACAAACTTTCAATAGGGAACCTAGCTCCAGAAGATACAGGGAAAGGTAGAATCTACACTGAATTGTTTCCAACCTGTCTGGATGGGGTTGATAAAAGGTGAGGAGAAAGGAGTCCTGTGGTTCAATAGGGAATGATTGCTATCAGGTCTGACAGTGAGTGTTGGAAAGGTAAATGTAAATGTTTGGTAACAAAAGGAGGGGAGTGGCTGATTTTGTAGTCCAATAGTGGAGATCCCTGGAACCATCATGAGAAAAAAGTGAAGTGTGAGACCGTGTCCGGAGAGACAGTGACACTAGGGATGGAGGCAGAGGCAATGACTTAAACAGGAGGAGCAGCTGGGGACTCTGGAATCAGGGAGGGAGGGGGGCTGTGTGCTAGCGGCTGGGAGGCAGGAGTGTGGGTGTTTGATGATGCATGCAGGGGATTGTGATCATTGCAATGAAACAAAGTACAATAGGATGAATATAAAGATAATGTTCACTCATGTAAACTAACACATAATTCACAATAAAAACTTAAAAATAAAAAAATGAATGAAATAAAGCAATTTACTTAAAAAAAAAAAAAGTACACTGTTTCATCAATAGCTAGTCTGATTACTAATTAACAAGTTCCTGACTCCTCCTTTTCCACTCCCCACCCCCCAAGAGAAGACTGTTAGAAGACTCTTGGGCCCTCTTACCTGTAAGACAGTGCTGTCTGCAAAGCCAAAGCCATCCTTTAACAAGGCAGTGATGTAACTGAGATCCATGCACAGGAAAGGACTCCCTGAGGTGAAGCTTTCTAAGTTATCACACACTGAAAGGGACAGAACAGTGGATTCAAGTTTGCAACTAAATGAAGGTGTAGAATTTTCTCTAGATAAGTTTTAAAAAGTTTTTTTTTTTATTGTGATTAGGCTAAAAGTTTAGAGCAAATCGGCTTTCCAGTCAACAATCCATATATATGTTGATGTGGCATGGATTGTAATTCCCATAATGTTAAGAGCACTTTTTATCATTTCCATTTATCCTTCTTTCCTCTCCCTTCCCACTGGAGCTTTTAGCCCTGGGCAAATGCTGCCTTTTTGATCTTTAAGGTTGATTGTACTAAGAGTCTACTTCCCTGGTGTTGTCATTTACCTTATAGGGCTGTAGATTCCTAAACTAAAAGTTTTAGAATAAACAAAGCAGAATTCTCCATTTGGTTGATGCCTAGGCCTCTTGGAGGCAGTGCAGCTAAATTCTGAAAGGTGGCAGTTTCTTAAGAAATTGCAAATGTCTGATGTAGCATCTCATCTACTCAAATTTCCATGTATCCTGGTTTATCTGGTGATAGCATGGACCGGGCAATGCTTAGTTCTGTTGTGTGTAGGGTTACTATAGGTCAGAACTGACTCAATGGCACCTAACAACTAATGAGTTTATTTGGTAAATTTCTATGACCTATATTAAGTTCCTCCTCTATTATTCATTTTGAGTCCCAGAAGATAAGGAAATGTCAGTTAGCCCTAGCTCTTAACACTAGTTAAGAGAGTTTGTATTTTAGGTGGACTCTTTCAAGGACACTTTGTGGCTTGTGTCTGTTTTTGGTGCTCACTATTTCATGAACACAGATTATTTTTAAAAAGAAAGGAAAGATAAAAAGAAGTGTAGAAAGAACAAAAGGTGTTCACTATTTTCCCAAGGACTCACATTGTTTCCAGATTCTATGCCACGTAATGCTTCTGTTGTTGTTCTGTGCCGCGGAGTCGGTTCTGACTCATAGCGACCCTGTACAGGTTTCCAAGGTTGTAAATCTTTACGGGAGCAGAAAGCCTCATCTTTCTCCCACGGAACAGCTGGTAGTTTCCAATTGCTGACCCTGAGGTTAGCAGCCCGATTCGTACTACACTACCAGAGCTCCTTGTTGTTACGTACTGTTGAGTCGGTTCTGATCCATAGTGACCCTGTATAGGGTTTCCAAGGAGCAGCTGATGAGCTTGAACTGCTGACCTTGCAGTTCAAAAGGCTTTGCCGTCTGGAGCACTAACCCACAGCGCCACACCAGGACACCTTAGCTCCTGGCAAAACCTGGCCTTCTGAGAGGCTTTCGAGCTGCCTCAGTGGCAATGGATCATGTTAAGGTCACTGGGTCACATTAAGGTCACTGGGTTGGCAGGCACAGCCTCACAGGCTCAACTTCCAGGGATTCCACAGACACTTACCTTCCCTGGCCTTTTTTTCAAAATCTTCAACTTTTATAACACCTCCCTTTTCATAGTCTGAAATGAAAAAAAAAAACAGTAACTGATGGAAAAAACCCTAGAGAAACAAGGAAATTCATCCTGGTCATACAGGTGTTGTCTTTAAGTGTCATTTAAGTCACTTCCAACTCATAGGGACCCTGTATAGGCTTTCTGAGGCTTTAAATCTTTGTGAGAGCAGAACGACTCATCTTTCTCCCACAGAGTGGCTGGGGAAAAAACTAGAAATAAAATTCCCAATGTTCATGGACAGGATAAACAAACATGACATATCCAGCCAACAGAATCAATGTAGCCACATTTGCTGCATTTTAGAAGGTGAGATTATTGGGGGATTTTTCCTTTTAATTCTCAGTGCATTCAAAATTTTATACAAGAAACATGTAATCACTGGATACATGTTTTAAAACAATTTTAAAGTGGTAAAAGAAAGACATCTCTACAGATTCTCTCTAAAATCACCTCAAAACAATAATAAAACAAACAGATACACATATTCCATCACCAAAGAAACTAGATGACAACTGTAATCCTGAACCACAGTATCTGAGGAAGGGCTAGCAAATGCAGTGAAGATTGAGCAAGGGTTTGGGAGGAAGGGGCTGCTGCTACTGCTCCCAAACAAAATTGGTAGGCTCGCCAAAGGATGTAGAGGTCCTGAGGGTTAGAGGCATTAAAAACCTGAAACTCTTTGCATGGAGCTATGGGATAGGTGTACATGAACTTCTGTGGTCCTGTGAAATAGAACTCTGCTTGGCACCAGGACACAAAACAGCAGGTAGAGAAGAAATGTTGAGCAATCTTACTACCCCACTCTCCATTGGCAGAGCTGTTGTTGTTGTTAGGTGTTGTTGAGTCAGTTCTGACTCATAGCTAACCTAGGTACAATAGAATGAAACACCACCCAGTCCTGCGCCATCCTTGCAATTGCTGCTGCCATGGTAAATTGTCTTGTTGGGGGTCTCCCTCTTTTTCGCTGCCCCTCCACTTTACCATGCATGATGTCCTTCTCCAGGACTGGTCTCTCCTGATAATATGTCCAAAGTATGAGAGACGAAGTCTAGCCAACTTGGCTTCTAAGGAGCATTCTGGTTGTACTTCTTTCAACACAGATTTGTTTGTTCTTCTGGCAGTCCACGGTACCTTTAATATTCTTCTCCAACACCACAACTCAAATGCATCAATTCTTCTATGGTGGTTCAAGCTCACCAGCTGCTCCTCAGAAACCCTATACAGGGTTGCTATGGGTCGGAATCAACTTAACAGCACTTAACAACAACAACAACTTCCTTATTCATTGCCCAACTTTTTTCAGTTCTTCCAGCTTGGGAAATGCTGAGCATGTTCTTCCCTTTTGGTTTTCTAACTCCAGGTCTTTGCACATGTTGTTTTGACTTTTTCTTCCCAAACTGCCCTTTGAAATTTTTTGTTCAGCTCTTCTACTTCTTCATTTTTTCCATTTGCTTTAGCAACTTTATGTGAGAGAGCAAGTTTCAATCTCTTCTAACACCCATTTTGGTCTTTGCCGTCTTTCTTGTCTTCTTAATGAATTTTAGCTTTCTTCCTGTATGTTGCTCTTGATGTCAACCCACAATGCTTCTGGGCTTTGGTCATTAGTGTCTAATGCATTATATCTGTTCTTGAGATGATTTCTAAATTCCAGTGGGATATAATCAAGGTTGTATTTTGGCTCTTGTGGACTTAACTTTTCTTCAGTTTAAGCCTGAACTTGCATATGAGCAACTGATGGTCTGCCCATGGCCTGTTTTGGCTGATGATATGGAGCTTTTCTACTATGTCTTCCCGCAGATGTTGTCAGTTTGATTTCTATGTATGCCATGTTGTTGTTAAGTGCCGTTGAGTTGATTCCGATCCATAGCGACCCTGTATAGGATTTCCAAGGAGCAGCTGGTGAGCCTGAACCACAGACCTTGCAGTCCAAACGACTTTGAAGTCTGACGCATTAGCCCACAGCGCCACACCAGGACTCATGCCATAATGTTGTCTTAAAAAGTTATTTGCCATGAACAAGTCACTGATCTTGCAAAATACTATCATGTGATCTCCAGCATCATTTTTATCACAAAGACCCTATTTCCCAATGACTGATCCTTCCTCTTTGTTTCCAATCTTTGCATTCCAATCACCAGTAATTATCAACACATCTTGATTGCATATTTGATCAATTTCAGACTGGAGAAGTTGGCAGAATTTTTCAATTTAATAATCACTCGTTTTAGTGGTTAGAGTATAAATTTGAATAATAATGTTATTAACTGGTCTCCTTTGTAGGATTATGGATATTATCCTATCACAGACAGCATTATACTTCAAAATAGATGTTAAAACATTCTTTTTGGTGAAAAATGTGACACCATTCCTCTTCAGTTTGTCATTCCTGGGATAGTAAACCAAATGACTGTTAGATTAAAAATGGCCAATACCAGTCCATTTCAGCTCACTAATGCCTGGGATTATCAACCTTTACGCATTCCATTTCATTTTCAACAACTTGAAATTTTCCTAGATTCACACTTTGTACATTCCATATTCTTAATATTAATGGATACTAATAGCTGTTTCTCTTCATTTTGATTTGTGCCCTATCAGCACATGAAGGTCCTGAAAGCTTTACTCCATTTGTGCTATCATGGTCAACTCTACTTTGAGGAGGCAGCTTTTCCTCAGTCATATTTTGAGAGTCTTCCAACCTGAGGGACTCTTCTTTTGGCACTATATCTGAAAATATTCTGGTGCTATATGATAGTGTTTTACTGCTATTTTTAGATTTTCAGTGGCTAAAAACATTCCTAAGTAATCAGTCTCTCCGTCTTCCTAATGTCTTAGTCTGGAAGCTCAGCTGAAACCTGCCCACCATGGATGTACCCTGCTGGTATTTAAAATACTGGTGGCAAACACCCAGCATCACAGCAACTCACAAACCACCACAGTAGGACAAACTAAGAGATGAATTATAAGAATATTCCTTTAGAACTAAAAACAGAATTATGGCCTTCCCACAATTTAGAAAGGACACAAAGTAAGAGACAAACCTAACATGAGCATTGTTAAAGATGGAAGATGAAATAATAAATAAGGTCTTTAGACAGAAACACTGTGGGAGCAGTTCTACCCTTTTCTTTAGGGTCACTATTAATTAGGATTGACTCATTGCAAGGAAGAAATGAAATTTTATGTTGAAATACAGAACAAAATCCAATCCTAAACTGCACCTAAGAAACACCTCTAATCAAAATGACTGAGACAGGCTACAGCACAAGGAAAGGCAAAGCAGGGAAGGTCAATGAAAGTCAGAAGGAGGAAGAGGCCGTGATCTTGATACAGATGCAGTTGATTTCAGGGCAAAAAGCTTTATGCAAAACAAGTGATTCTGAGTGAAGCAGATGCAATCCACAATAAAGATCTAATAGCTTTTCCAGTATCTATGCCCTATTTATGCACTGAATGATAGAGCATAAAACTTGTAAAGCAAAAACCCCAGGAAGTGTTGTTATTGTTAAGTGCCATTGAGTTGATTCCGACTCATAGTAACTCTGTATAGGATTTCGAGCAGTGGCTGGTGAGTCTAAAGCACCGACCTTGTAGTTCAAACCAACCTTGAGGCTGAGTGCTAGGGCGCCACACACAGAAAATACAGAAGGTGCAGAAACACATTAGTAAATAGGAAATCAACTTATATCTCTCAGGCCATGACAGATCATGTACATACACTTCCACATCGAAACAAAACTTTTCTCAAAACTCAGCAGAGTTTACACTTTAAATATGTGCCTCGTAGGATGGATCAGCACTGGACTGCAAACCGCAAGGCTGGCAGTTCAAACCTACCAGCTGTTTGCTCCTCAGAAACGCTATACAAGGTCACTATGAGTCTGAACAGACTCAATGGCACTTAAAAATAACAACACAATAAGTCAGTTATGCCCCAATAAAGATGCTTAAGAAAAAATACTTCATTTATATTTGTTTAGCTCATCGTCTAGCTCAAAATATTCTAAATTAAATTCCATTTCCATTTGAGTAACTAGTTTACATTCAAACAGCTAGCACTGGAGAAGAGAAGGTATCATACCCGATAAAGCATTCCCAATACCACTTGTCCCTTCCCCTTCTCTAGCCCAGCCCTGGCCAGGTTCCTCTCTGGACCCAAACCTGGAGTGAACTTACCAATCAAGTCAGTGTCCACAGCTCGGTCATAGTAGTAAGAGAAAGCATAGAAGGAGCTTCTCCGGATCTCGTCTGGCTGGTGAAGTTTTCCTTTTACTACTCCCTGCACTTCAGCATAGCAGGGCTCAAAACCAGTCTCCCCTGCCACAGAGGTAAGGTGAGAAAATGACAAGCTGCTGGAGCCAATAGAAAGGTCAATTAAAGTAGGAGGAGGCTGAGGTTTCAAGACAAAATACTTAACAGTGAAGAGGAGCAAGCTTTTGTAGCTTCACTGTTCTGGAACCTATGTCTCCATGGCAGCTCCCTCCCTAATTTGTATTCACCAAAAACAACCATAATGGAGCTAGAGCTGCTGCTTCTAGTATATGACTGACGTACTTATAAACAAGACTCCAGAGGGCTCGCCTAGCTCCTTAACTGGGAAAGCAAATTCCTTCCTTGATTTCAAGGACTATGCCTTTCAGAATACCTAAGATATTCTTCCCATTGGCTCCATTTACAATTTTACATTAATTTAAATGGCCTTTCACCCTGTTTGAGGGCAGAGACTGTTTAATGACTAGGCCTAGAGTAAGAACATGTTTCTAACAAATCCATAACAGTGGGCCAAGGAAAATATGATGGACACCAAATGACGGCTGCCTTACTCTCTTGTCCCTTCAAATTATTTCTTGAAAGTATACTAAGATCTATTTGGAACAAGTCCTTGCAACATGACAAGCTTTTATTGAGCTCTGGGGACTCTTCCATCACTTCTATTGTAATACAATTTTGTTGTTGTTATGTGCTTTCAAGTCGGTTCTGACCCATAGCGACCCTGTACAGGGTTTCCGAGGCTGTAAATCTTTACGGGAGCAGAAAGCCTCATCTTTCTCCCGCGGAGCGGCTGGTAGTTTTGAACTGCCGACCTTGCGGTTTGCAGCCCGATTCGTAACCACTATGCTACCAGAGCTCCTTGTAATACAATTTTAGTCAGAGGAAAAATATCACTTGCCTTCTTGGTTGCCACCATACTGGTACTTCACACCCCCAAAGATCCATTCTGCTTCCAGCCATCTTGGCAGACAGGCACTTCGGAAGGTCTGTCCATCGATCCCTGGAAGAAAACAGAGCACAAAGTTCTAAGTGGTGGGGCCTTCAAATCTTATGAAATTAGTTTTATGGCTATCCTATGACAGAATCCTTAACTCAGGGTTTACAAGTGGACTTTGTAGTGAACCCTCAAGACCACAGGCAAAGTTCTGTGCACATGCATTTGGCAGAGGAGCCCATAGCTTTCATCACATTCTCAAAAAAAAAAAAAAAAAAGGATAACTCTAAGACCCACAATAGAATAAATTTCCTTCTCTCTAAAAAAGGGAGGGAAATATTTCTTCTGTCTTCCTCACTGACTATTGTGAGACTTCAGTGAAATACACAATCATCTCCACAATATACCAAAATATCTGAACTTATAAAGTAGAAATGGAATTTACTATTACATACTTTGTACAAGATATGCTTCCCAGTTCAGAATAACTCTTTCTTTTTCAAGAAACATTGCCAAAACCAAAATCAAACCCATTGCAGTTGAGACCATTCTGACTCATAGTGACCCATAAAACAGAGTAGAACTGTCCCACAGGATCTCCAAGGCTGTATCTCTACAGCAGCAAGTTGCCACATCTTTATCCTGCAGAGTGGCTGCTGGGTTGTAACTGATGACATTTTGTTCAGCATCCAAGAACTCTGACTGCTGCATCACCAGAGCTCCTATCACTGCCAAGGAAGGGGAAGACTATTGTCAGTACCAGCCAGCACATGGCCCAGACGAACCTTCTGTCTCTAGGGCTCCAAGGGTTGCCAGTCTTGCAGCTTTCAATCCAAATCCCAAGTAGCTGTGAAATACAGGATTTATTAATTTCACACTGCTCCTGAAGGTCTCCAGTCTAAAGCTACCTCTTTCAAAGTAACATAGTATTTGTAGCAATGGAATGTTTCCCTGTCTTTCTTTGAAAGGAGGAACACCTTGTTCTGCTTTATGATTTATTTCATCCCATGTGATCAACAAGAGGCAATTTCTAAATAGACCAAGGCTATGCAGCAGGAATTCCCTAAAACTATGCTTTAGAGGTCAGAAGACAGTAATAACAATCCCTAACATCTCAACCTGGGAACCATGTGCAGAAAATGGGTCTCTCATTTCAGTGTTCAGATAAGATTCCAGGCTGTGTTTTGAACATCTGAAGGCCAGCTCAAAGGACTTGCCCCATGGAGCGCTGACTAAGCCTTCTCAGGGTGTCTTCCCTCAAGAGAAAAATCTTAAGTTATGTAATTTTGAGGCCAAGAACAAAGGAATCGCTTGGGTCCAGGGCTTTAGTAAGTGGTTTGGGTTAGGGTATTGGCAAAGACTTTATAAAATAGATCGAATGTACAATAGATATGAAAATATTTAGAAAAGTAGGAGAATCATTCAACACAAAATATTATTATTATTTTTCCCTGTCCCCCTCCTTACCTATAAGTATAAAGCTTATAAGTGCTGTTAAACATCTCAAAGGAAGTGATATAGCCCCTAGGAGTTTGTTTCAAGGTATTCTGCAAATCAGAAAAAGCAAACAGACTATTCAGGATCTGCAATTATCTGAAGATGTTATCATCACCTTCCCTGCCTCTCCCTAAAAACACACACACACACACACACACACACACACACAAAACCAGAGATAAAGGAAATGGATTAAACTGGTAGTCCCACAGGGTTTGAGGAATCAGAGACTGAACAGTGAAGAGGGCCCAGACTATGAAGGTCTATTTGTGGAAGAGCCACTGTCTGAAAATGGGGTGCCACCTTTTTGCACCATTATGTGTGTACACATGTGTTATTATCCAAACATTCATGTAAATGACTCACCTCAAACTGGGGCAGAAAAGTGATTTGCGTGGAGGCCCCCCCGAGGTCCAGGGTCCCCACAGTTTCCTGGCTGTGGCCATGCAGCTGACCTGTGAATGAGAACCAGACATGAACATCCTCTTTATCCTGAGCAGTCCAGTACTTGGTAACTTCTCCCCTGCTCTTGTGGTACACTGGAGGTAGTTCAAAAATACTCTACTATTCCCCTCCCCAAATGGCTGCTGCTGCAGCTGTGGCCTTGAAGGAAGGCTATAAATGTTAGTTGGCTTCCTTTTATTTTTTTAAATGAAAGAACAGTACAGACAAGGAAGGACTCTTCACCTCCTAACAATGTGTGAAACCCAGGTAATGATAAACTTGAGAATTATTACCTGTCAGGAAATTCACAGTAACCCAGGCTAATATGCCTGAAAAGAGAGAAAAGGACAAAGGATTACATCCCAGGCTTTTTTCCCTCTCTTCCCTGGTCCCATCTTAATTCTTTCTCTCTCTAAATATCAAACCTAGACTATGAAATTCTCTCCTTGTCCTTCTGTGTCCTTCAATCCCACTGCTCCCACTCCTCTGTCTCTCCTTGGTGGTGGTGTCAAGCACCGCTCTGTGTAGGGTCTCCGAGGAGCGGCTAGTAGGTTTGATTTCTCCTTACTTAGCTCCTTTTCTTTGACCCCAGTTCCTTTCACTAGAGTTTTTACTGACCTTGCCCCTCTCCCCCAACAACACACACCAACATCTCTCCCACCTTCATAGGATCCGTCCATGATGCTAACACTGTCATCTGGTACCAGGAAAGGTGACTTCTTGAAGATTTCTCTTACCTAGAAAAAAAGAACAAACATCTGGATTCTCCAGGGCAATAAGACAGATTTCTATATTTTGATTATATCCTAGAAGGCTTGGAAAACCACTCTCTTTATTCTTCCTAGATAAAAATTTTTTAGCAGTTTTCCCCAAGAAACTACAGAAGGAACTAGGCAAGTCACTGAGTTTCTTACAAAAAACAAAAATGACTTTATAAAACAAATCTAAACCAAACCATCTGGACTTCTAGGTGAACTAGACAGCGCCATACATTTAACCCTATCAGCTCAGATCAGGACCCTGTAATTTTTATTTATTTATTTACTTTTTTAAAATGATTTATTGTGAATTATGTGATAGTTTACATGGGAGAACATTAGTTTTACATTCATTCTATCGTATATCATCTCATTGCCATGGTTACAATCTCCTCCATGCAATCCTTCCCCCGTAACCCCCAGCTCTTCAGCACACAGTCTCTCTCCCTCTCTGGATCTAAAGTCTCCAGCTGCTCCATCGCTCCACGTCATCATCTCTGGCTCCATTTCAGGCATCACTGCTTCTCTGGGTAGGGTCCCACTCTCTGCTCTTCTCCCTTGATGGTCCTAGGGACCTCTGCTCCTAGACTGAAAAGTTAATCACTCCCCTCCTTGCTATAAAACATCTACCTTTACATTTCCGACCCTCACAATCAGTCCTGATAACAATTATTCACTATTGTATCACAAGAGACCTTTATGCATTTCATTGCATCAGTCCCGCCTAGACAGATTGAATACTACTCACTGGAGATTCTACCTTCCTCCAGGCCCTCTGGATATAGGTTCCCTCTTGAAAGCTTGTAAGCCAGTCACTTCTTGCCTTTGTAGAACCACCCCCCCCCAACCCCCCATTTTGGGTAGCCAATGTCCAAGTTGCCAATCCCTGTCTATTCTGTGTGTGGAGGGGTTGGGAATTATTCTTGCTGTAAGGACTTACTCCCTCTTTTGAGCTACTGCATCCATAGGTGTAGGTCAGGACCCTGTAATTTTTATAAAACACTAGGTTCCTTCTACCTGGACACAAAAATGCTGGAGAACCTCTTCTCCTGCCACCTGAAGATGAACCTGGGTAGTGTCTGAAGCTGCAGGAAAGGCTCTCCTGCCTCCAGTTCACATCCTGCAGTTTGTGCCTTCCTGGTGAAGGAGATCACATCCAAGGGCTGATGCCAGTATTCTGCTACCAGCCCTTGGCAGATTCTGGCACATGGCTGGGGCTTCACAAGTCTAGAGACCCCAGAGCTACACTTCTGCAATCCTATTTTGTTGTTGTTAAGTGCTGTTGAGTTAGTTCTGACTCACAGCAACCCTGTCTGTATAGGGTTTCCGAGGAGCGACTGGTGAGTTTGAATGCCGACCTTGCAGTCCAGTGCTTATCCCACAGCACCACACCAGGACTCCTTCTTTAGGAGGTGGGAATAAAGATCTTGAACAGATGCTGTTGACTCTCCATAAATACAGGGAACGATAAGGGTGTCATGTCTCTTTTGTATATGATTATTACGAGTGAGGGATGGGTAGAGAGAAGGATTCTCCAAATAGGAATAAGGAGGAATTCTAATCTGTTGGTTGTTCTCAAGTGACAAAAAACACCACACAGTGACCTCTGCACCCTGTTTCAACCAGGAGCTTTTAAGGAGGCAGCAGATAAATGGTTGTTGTTGTTGTTATGTGCAATTCCGACTCATAGCCACCCTGTACAGGGTTTCCAAGGCTGTAAATCTTTACGGAAGCAGAAAGCCTCACCTTGTGGTTCGCAGCCTGACTCATAACCACTTGGCTAAGCAGGACTAAAACACAGAGCGGCTGCTCCTGAGCCTTCACACCTTCCCCATGTGACTCTGTTCTCAACACAGTGAATGGTACTGTTCAAACAGATGTGGGATGGTAGCTCTCCTTAACACAAACCTCCAGAGAGCTTCCTTTTTAGAATAAAAGCCAAAGTCCTTTGAGGACTTACATGATATATTCTACCCCCATACCTCAGGGGAGTACTGGTGTGGTGCTGTGGGTTAATGTGCTGGACTGCAAAGTCAGTTTGAACTGCAAGGTTGGCAGTTCAAGTTCACCAGTTGCTCCTAGGAAAGCCTAAGCAGGGTTGCTATGAGCCGGAACCAACTCGACGGCACTTAACAACAACATACCTCAGGATTCCTGGTGTGGCACTGTAGGATAAGCACTGAACTGTGAACTGTAAGGTCAGCAGTTCAAACCCAGAAGCTGCTCCTCAGAAACCTTGTACAAAGACCACTAAGAGTCAGAACTGACTTGAGGTAACTTTACAACAGCATATATCTTTCCAATCACATTTCTTTCTTCTCTCCCATCTTTCACTTGTTCCAGGCTCACTGACTCCTGAATGTTGCCACTGTGTGCTGCCAAGTAGATCCCAACTCACAGTGACCCTATAGAACAGAGTAGAACTACCCTATAGGGTTTCCTAGGCAGATCACCCGGTCTTTTCTCCCGCAGAGCATTCCTCAAACATACCAAGCACAATCTGGCCTTAGGCTGTCCCTGCAGTCTCTTTAGCTTGGGATACTCTTCTCACAAATGTCCTGTACAGCTTGAGTCCTCCCTCTCTTCAGACTTCTAATCAAATGTTACATTTCATCAGTTAGGCCTTCACTGACCTCAGTATTACCATAGGGTCTCCCCTATACCACCAGCAGCATTCCCTAACTACCTTACTCTGCTTTATTTTTGTCTATAGCATCTACTGGTTCACCAAGCATACTCTATTAGTTTCTATCTCCTCTCAACAACAATGTCCTAGGCTCCATGAGGGAGAAGTCAAGATTCAGATTCTCATGGAGAAATGCTAGGCACAAGGCACTGCAGTGTTGATAGTAAAAAAAAAAAAAAGTTTTCAAACAATAAATCAGTATACCTGTAATTCAGAAAACTCTTTATGGTGATTTTTTTGGTTATAATTGGATTCTGACTATAAATATTACAGTATGCAATTTGAATCTTATTAATTTCATGTTCATTGCA